TATGGTTGCAAATATCAAAAAATGTCTATTATGTGACACGGCACCAGAGTTAAGTTAGGGTTTTTCAAAATGCTGACACGCCGAGCTCAAAAGGTTCCCCATCGCTGCCCTAGGAGGAGATCCAGCAGCTGCGGACCAAGCTTGAGAAAGTGGAGAAGGAGCGGAATGAGCTGCGGCTCAACAGTGACCGGCTGGAGACCCGGGTGAGTGACTCCTAGCACCAGGCAAACTGGCTCACCTCCACAGGGAGGCTGGGCCTCGGAGGCCTCCCTCCCCCACCTCCCAGTGTTCTGGCTGACGGAGGCAGGCAGTTCAACTGGTAACTGGTGGCATCTCCCTCTGCTCCCCCCCCCCCAGATCTCAGAGCTGACATCGGAGCTGACAGATGAACGTAACACGGGAGAGTCCGCCTCCCAGCTGCTGGACGCGGAGACTGCGGAGAGGCTCCGAGCTGAGAAAGAGATGAAGGAGCTGCAGGTGAGGGCAGGGCCAGGGTGAAGACAGCCATGCTAGCGGCTGCCACACTCTAGCGCCCATCGGCTACCCCCAAGGACAGGTGGCATCTTTGCCACTAGCCCAGCACCTCTGTCTGCCCTGGGTAAGCATGTGACCGTGGTCTGTGTGGTTCAGGGACGTGGTGGGTACTGAGTTAGGGATGGAATGGCACACCTCCTCACCCCCTCTCCTGCAGACCCAGTATGACGCACTGAAGAAGCAAATGGAGGTGATGGAAATGGAGGTGATGGAGGCCCGTCTCATCCGGGCAGCCGAGATCAACGGGGAAGTGGACGATGATGATGCAGGTGGGTCTGAGGCCAGAGCAGCTCGGTAGTGGCCTGAGTGGCAGCTCTGATGCCCACCCCTGGGTAACCACACCTCTTGTCCAGGCGGGTCCCTTCGGAGAGTTCTGTGATAATGCTATAGTGCAGTGGTTCTCAACCTTCCTAATGCCGCAACCCTTTAATACAGTTCCTCATGTTGTGGTGACCCCCAACCATAAAATTATTCTCATTGCTACTTCATAACTGTAATTTTGCTACGGTTATGAATTGTAATGTAAATATCTGATATGCAGGATGTATTTTCATTGTTACAAATTGGACATAATTAAAGCATAGTGATTAATCACAAAAACAATATGTAATTATATATGTGTTTTCTGATGGTGTGAGGCGACCCCTATGAAAAGGTCATTCGACTCCCAAAGGGGTCGCGACCCACAGGCTGAGAACCGCTGCTATAGTGCCATAAATAGACAGTAGAGGTGCCAATAAATGCAGGGGATTATCATCGAGGGCCGCAATAACCGTGGTAATGACTGTGTTTGAGGGCCAAGGTCTGGCAGTCCCCGCTATTGGCTCCTCCCACCTGGGGACGAAGCCATCATTCCAGAGACATTTCTGAGTCCCTGTGGCTGACTCCACCTGCTGCCCCTCCCTGCCCCATCCTTCTTCCCCTCTGCCCTTTCTTGGGGACTCTCAGAAGCTCAGGCCTCCCTGTCTGCCCCCCCAACCCCACAGGTGGCGAGTGGCGCCTGAAGTATGAGCGAGCCGTGCGGGAGGTGGATTTCACCAAGAAGCGGCTCCAGCAGGAGTTTGAGGACAAGCTGGAGGTGGAGCAGCAGAACAAGAGGCAGTTGGAGAGGCGGGTGAGTCTGCCCGAAGCCGTGGAGGCCTGGGCCTGGGCGGGCAGGGAGGGGCTCGGTCCCACATGTTGGCCCAGTGAAGGGCCAGAGGCAGGCCGACCCTGGGAGCCATAGGAGAGGAGTGGAGTGTCTGCCTCTCGGTGCAGGGGACCACCAAGGGCAAACTGTTGTTCGAGTGTCTTAGTTTCCTGAACGTCCCTGACGTCATCCCTCATCTCTGGTTTCCCCTTCACTTATCCATCTCCTTCTCCTCACCTTCTCCAACACTGCCGGGCCTCTCAATGGCTGCTGACCCTGCACCCATCTGGGCCGCCAGCTCGGGGACCTGCAGGCAGATAGTGATGAGAGCCAGCGGACTCTGCAGCAGCTCAAGAAGAAGTGCCAACGGCTGACGGCTGAGCTGCAGGACACCAAACTGCACCTGGAGGGCCAGCAGGTCCGCAACCACGAGCTGGAGAAGAAACAGAGAAGGTGGGTGGGTCCCCTGCCCTGGGCGCAGAGGACCTTCTAGAGCAGCCCAGACAGGACTCCTTGCCTCTCCCTCCAGGGAGGAAAGAAGAAAGGGCCTGAATTTGGCCAGGGCCTCGCCTGCATGGTCACTCGGGACCTTCTAGAGCAGCCCAGACAGGACTCCTTGAAGAAAGGGCCTGAATTTGGCCGGGGCCTCGCCTGCATGGTCACTCGTCTAGAATGGGAATGGGTCTTACTCCTGACCTCTGAGAAGTACTCAGACCCCATCCCACCGAAGGCCTGCTCAGGCCTCTGCTCTCGGAGATGCTCCCCCAGAGTCCCTGTCACCCTGCCTGGGCCCCGTAAGGATGGGCACCAGCCAGGCCCCCTGCAGGGATCGTTCCCCCAGGGCCCTGCCCTCGTGCCCACCCCGCTCCCCAGCTCTCCCTCGCCTCAGCTACACAATCACACTCTCCTGACTGATGTCATTAAACCACCGTGCCACTTCCATCTCATTATGGTAATGACACGAGGGAGGGGGGCAGCCCTCACAGGAGAAAATCCAATCTAAATTAATTTCCCGGGCTGGGGATGAGAATGGGACGCCTTTATTAGCAACGCCGAGGAACCACACACCCTGGGAACAGCAGGGCGCCCCAGGGAGTGGGAGCAGCGCCACGCTCTCCCTTGCAGGGAGAGGTTCTCAGCAGAGGCACTAGGGAAGGGGCAGCCCCACACCCACACACTGGAGGTGAGAACTGCAGAGCCCCGACCTTCCAGTGACCCCAGGTTTCCCTCTGCCTCCTGGCTGGGCTGCTGCTTTGTGGAGAGTGAGAGGAAACAAGGTCCTAAATTTCTTCCTCGCAGCACCCTGACTCTCTGCTTCCCTAGTTCTTACCTTTACACCCACCCTCCTTTTTCCCTAGCGGCGGGCACCCTTAGCGGGAACCCCCTTCTGAGCACCTGGTGGCAGTGCCAGTGAGGCCTTGCTGCACTCCCCACTGGGCAACTTATTAGGTTTCAGCTGCCTGGAGTTTTCTTACTTTTTTTTTTTTTGATACAGTGTTGGGGTAGGAGGAGCTGTTCAGTTTTCCACAGGAGCCTGATTAGCTATTCAGGGACGGTGTTAAGAGGAATTTCAGCCATTTGCTGCTTATTTAAAGTCACTGGGCAGGAAGTGGAAGGCTGGGAAGTGGAGGTGTGAAGAAAGAGGCCCCCAACCCTGGATGGATGCGCACTTGCCCATGGAAGCCTGGGGCCAGTTGGGCACAGTGGGGCTGCTGGCTTCCAGCCCAGGGTGGGGTGTCCTGGTGGCGGCGTGCGCACCGCTGGGGCAGTGGGCCTGGCCAAAGGCTAGTGCGGAGAAGTGGGGGCAGGAGCCAAACTGAACTGCGGGAAGTGAGTTAGATGAGGTGGGAAGTGAGTTAGATGAGTCGGGATGTCCGTTTCTACCCATCTTGATACCCTCGCTGCCCTCACCCGGGGCCCTCATTCTTGATCTGTTGAAATGAAAAAGGTCGAGACTTACACCAGAGGAGAGGATGTCCTCTCCTCGGGAACAGTCTGTGGGTCCTCGTAGGCCCCCCTGGTGAGAGGGCACCTGGGACCAGATTGATGAAATGCCTCCCCGCCCCACCAATCCCAGACCAGGCTCCTGAGCAGGGTCTTGATGGCTTGACCTCTGAAATGTCCCCTCGCCCCAGCCGCAGTTCAGGCTGCATGAGTACCCCCTCCACTTGTATCCCATCTGTACCTCCGGCATCGTTTCCCGGGGGCCTCTGGGTGCTGGAGACCCAGACTCTTCCCGCGTCTGATGGGGCCGCGATGGCCGTGCTCCCTCCAGGTTTGACAGCGAGCTCTCGCAGGCGCACGAGGAGGCGCAGCGGGAGAAGCTGCAGCGGGAGAAGCTGCAGCGGGAGAAGGACATGCTCCTCGCCGAGGCTTTCACCCTGAAACAGCAGCTGGAGGTGCGTGGGGCTGCCCACCGTCCACACCCCGTCCCCTTCGCGGGCCCAGGTCGGCCCAGGACCGGCCTCAGCTTCTCTTTTGCTCCAGGAGAAAGACATGGACATTGCAGGGTTCACCCAGAAGGTCGTCTCCCTGGAGGCTGAGCTCCAGGACATTTCCTCCCAAGAGTCCAAGGATGAAGCCTCTCTGGCCAAGGTCAAGAAACAGCTCCGGGACCTGGAGGCCAAGGTCAAGGACCAGGAAGAGGAACTGGATGAGCAGGCGGGGACCATCCAGATGCTGGAACAGGTGCTGGAAGGCTTGGCTCAGGGAGGCACCGCAGTCCCCACAGCTAACCTGAGGCGTGGGCAGAGGAGGGCAAGATCTCCAATTCAGCCACTCATTCCCTTAGTCACCAAATGCTGAGTGAGCACCTGACCTGTGCCGACCACAGTGTGCGGATAACTAAGCTTCCGTAGTGCTTTCCACACGAACAAGCCTTGGTTGAGCTCTAGTGGGAAGGGCAGGATGCACAGCAGCCCACCCCGGCTGCCACTGAGCCACCGTGTCAGCTAGAGCCTGGAGGCCAAGTGGAAAAGCTTCAGGGTTGTCCCACCCCAGAAGCCTTCTCTGGGCCTGGGCTAGTCACCTAGAAAGGGAGTTCAGCTTCTCCAGTAAAGCCACAGGAGAACTGCCGGCAGAGGCCCTCCCTGCTCCTGGGTCTGAGAGAGCTGCCCATCAGAGTGCAGTGGGCAGGGGTCAGAGTGCAATGGGCAGAGGTCAGCGAGCTGCTGGGAAAGGAACCCAGCCTCTACTCCCACCCACCTCCAGGCCAAGCTGCGACTCGAGATGGAGATGGAGCGGATGAGACAGACCCATTCCAAGGAGATGGAGAGTCGGGATGAGGAGGTGGAGGAGGCCCGGCAGTCATGTCAGAAGAAGGTAAGGCAGTGGGACTTACCTGTCCAGTCAGTAGAAACACCGGTTCCCCCAGCACTGCTTCAGAGTAAGGGACTTCCTGTTTCCCGGCCTTCGCCACGCTTTCCTTCAGTGCCCTTCTGGACCAGGAATCTCCGCTCCTGACATGAGCTGGGGTGTGTGCTCTCAAGGTCTATAGAGAAACTCAGGCCCAGAAGAACTAGTGCTCTCTGCTGTCTCTGCTAATCAGCAGCCCACCCTGAGCCACCCTGTGCCGCCAGCTCACCTGGCTCCGTGGGGCCTGCCCGCTCTGGAATGGGGGCTCCCGCCCTAGCTTGGGGCCACCATCATGTCCTGCCATCCCTCCTCTCCCTCCTAGGCTGCTGTGAAACCTCAGGGACCTCAAGTGCAGGGTCTGACCCCTCTGGGGTCATTCATGCTCAGCCCTGCCCAGGGGGTGGCGGGGGGTGGGGGTAGGAGGAAAGGGGACCGCCTGGCCCCAGACACTGGGCACTGATAGGGCTCTGTCCCCACGGTTCTCCAGTTAAAACAAATGGAAGTGCAGCTTGAGGAGGAATATGAGGACAAGCAGAAGGTGCTGCGAGAGAAGCGGGACCTGGAGAGCAAGCTCACCACACTCAGTGACCAGGTGAGTGGAGACCGCTGGCTGGAGCCCGGCCGGCTGCCTCCCCATCCAGACTTAGAGATGGGACTCTGGGCAGGGGTCAGAGTGCAGTGGGCAGAGGTGAGAGATCTGGGAACATGGAGGGTGGCGCGGGGATCTGTGGAGCCCACCGCCATCTCATGTAGAACGGGGGTGATAATCATACATCGCACACCCAGGCTTTCCTCACTGGCCGGCGTGATCCTGGCACTTCCACTGTCGTTGCTCATTAGGGGGCCTCAGAATGAGAGCCAGGGTGAGGCGTGAGCTTGGGGAAGACAGGAGGGGGCCCTGTGGCAGAGCAGAGAGCCTCCACTTCTGGTGTCCACCCATCCGTGGTCGGCAAACTGCGGCTCGCGAGCCACATGCGGCTCTTGGGCCCCTTGAGTGTGGCTCTTCCTAAGCCTTAGGAGGACCCTAATTAAGTTCATAACAGTGTACCTACCTATATAGTTTAAGTTTAAAAAATTTGTCTCTCAAAAGAAATTTCAATCGTTGTACTGTTGATATTTGGCTCTGTTGAGTAATGAGTTTGCCGACCACTGACCCAGGTGAACCAGCGGGACTTCGAGTCAGAGAAGCGGCTCCGGAAAGATCTGAAGCGCACCAAGGCCCTGTTGGCGGACGCCCAGATCATGCTGGACCACCTGAAGAACAACGCGCCCAGCAAGCGGGAGATCGCCCAGCTGAAGAACCAGGTATCTGCAGAGAGGACGGGGTCCCCTCTCAGGGCCCCTGGGCTTACGCTCCCAGCGTTCCTTCTCTCCCTCGAGTCCCTCTCAGTGGGTCTTGAGTCCTTGGGAAGGAAGGTGACAGGGAAGTGGGAGAAGCCACTTGGAACAGCCATACTCCCCGGGGTCTCTGCATGATGCCCAGCGTGACTGCCAAGCCCCGGACTGCTGGGGGCGGGCCCGGTACCCACCCCTGTCACGGGAGGAGATGCCTGTGCACGCACCACAGCACCCTGAGGTCCCAGGGTCTGAGTACACGGAGGAGGAAAGGAGAGCTCCTGGGCCCCCTCTCCCCTGTGAGCACCCTGCACAGCCTGCCTGTCCCCAGGGAATGGCTGACGTCTCTCCTTGGGGCGGGGGTGGCTCTGTGTCCAGCTGGAGGAGTCCGAGTTCACCTGTGCCGCCGCCGTGAAAGCACGCAAAGCCATGGAGGTGGAGATCGAAGACCTGCACCTGCAGATTGATGACATCGCCAAAGCCAAGACGGCGGTGAGGAACCGGGGCGCGCAGGCCCGGGCTGAGGGAGCATAGAGCTGTGACAGCGGCTGCCTTCACTCCAAACAGGGACCCTTCCCCAGCCAGGTCCCTTCACGCCAGGACGTTCTGCAGGGAGAGCAGGCCTTCCTCCCCCGCCGCCCCCACTAACAGCCAAGGACCGACACGGGGGAAGGTGAAAGGGAGCCAGCCAGGGCCCCTTGCCCTGCGTAGCCACCTGCCTGTGAGAGCTTGGCTGCAGGCCCCAACACCATTAATAAAAGCCGCTAATGTGGCCGAGGGATGTAAGCAGGTGCCTAGAGATTAGCAGAAGCACCGATAAGGGGATGGGATGGCTCGTTTCCCTCCCCTTCCCCTGGCCAGCCCACTGACAAGCCCAAGCGGCAGCTAATTAGCACTCTTATTTAATGCCTCCCTTTTTAATTCCCCACCTCTCCCACGGCCCATGCAAAGCTGGGCGAGAATTCATTACTGGAATGTGGCCACCGGTGCTATGGTACTATCTCCGGCAGGGAACGGGGCAGGGGAGGAGGCTGGGCTGGGCTCCGCGACCCCTTAGCTAGCCACCCGGCCACTGATGCCAATCTTCCAGGCTTGATTTATCCCCGTGACATTTGTGCTTTTCAGCAGTTTTCAGGTGAGTAATTCAAATTCCTTAATTGTGTTAAAAAAGGCTGTTATAAAATTACCATTTTATTTAAATCCGAGTTAATAAATTTCTTGGCAGAGGCTTCCCCAACTCCCCACAGCCCGGTAACAAGATGGATGGGGCAGAGAAGGAGCCAACGCAGTCATTTTGGTTTGGAATTACAGGCTAATAGATTCATTCATTTCCTGAAGCTGCTGTTGGCTGTCTCTTCCCCTCCCCCCACGAGTGGCCTGGCTCTGGGGGCTGGAAGGCCAGGGAGCAGGCCGTCCCTGGGGAAACAAGAGCTTCGAGGATTTCAGGGGTCCTTCCTGGGACCTGAAGGGGGCCGAGGGCACAAAGGTTAGGGCTGCTAGTGCCTGGGTGCTGGGTCGCTTGTTCTGGGCAGATCTTTTCTGCCTTTTTAATTAGCCTCCAAAGAGCTGCCAGGAAGCAGCTGTCATTTAGCTCAGGGTAGGCCTGAGCTGCAAAGACAGCCCTTTCCCTCATCTCCCCGACCCAGAGCCGGGCAGGCAGCTCCCTGATGGTCCTGGTCCTGGAACCCCCTCTAGCAGGGGGACCTGTCCTCAGTCACCACCACGCCCCTCCCATTGAAGGTGACGTGGGGAAGGTGACACTCAGACCGAGGCCCTCTGATCTGCCTTTGCTTCTGTCCAGCTGGAGGAGCAGCTGAGCCGCCTTCAGCGCGAGAAGAACGAGATCCAGAACCGGCTGGAGGAGGATCAGGAAGACATGAATGAGCTGATGAAGAAGCACAAGGCAGCTGTGGCTCAGGTACCCGGCCCAGGAGTGCCCACCGCACCCTGTGCCGCAGGCACTGCCCTCCTCACGGGTGCCCAGCGCAGCAGCATCTTGGGAGCGGTGGCCGTGCGGGCGGTCCCTGGCACTCAGAGTAGGGTGGAGGGGGGCACATTCAAGGGTTATGGAGGATCCTGTTCAGCACTCACTCCCTTCCCAGGCCTCCCGGGACCTGGCTCAGATGAATGACCTCCAGGCTCAGCTCGAAGAAACCAACAAGGAGAAGCAAGAGCTGCAGGAGAAGGTGGGCACCGGGGTCTGCCTTGGTAGAGAGAGAGGGTGCCCAGGTCCCCATACGTGGGGATGAAGCCCCACGCTCCCGGATAGCAAGCACTTCTCTCTGCCATCGGCAATCCACGGAGCAGCGTCAAGTGCAGGGAGCTAGGCTTGGAGCCATGTCGCCATAGCAGACACTTTGGCTTCAGCCGCCTCGTTTCACATTTCTATTCCCTCCCTGGTCCTCAGCTTTCTCCCCTCTCTCCAAAGGGCTAAATCTGTGCCAGCGCTGGGCCAGGTGGGGGCCGCCTCTGGCTCAGGGCCCCATTCTTCCCCCTCCCCTGTGCATCCCTCTCTCCCTCCCTCAGCCTTCTGGTCACCATGGTGATCTTTCCAGCCCCAGACTCTGCCCCCTCCCTTGTGGGCTCAGTTCTTTCTTCTCCTCCCGCTCCCCACCCCCAGCTACAAGCCCTCCAGAGCCAAGTGGAGTTCCTAGAGCAGTCCATGGTGGACAAGTCCTTGGTGAGCCGACAGGAAGCTAAGATCCGAGAGCTGGAGACACGCCTGGAGTTCGAAAGGACCCAAGTGAAGCGGCTGGAGGTGCGTGCACACTTCTCCTGGTCCGCAGTGACCCGGCAGCGCGGCCCTTGTAGCTAGAGCCACACGTGCTGAGCAGGGCTGGGCAGAGGCCGCTGCCAAGCTGCCAGGCCAGCTGACAGGGCGGTGCCTTCTCCCCTGCCCGCCTGGCCTGTTCTCTGGGCACCACGGAGCCTGCCTGCTTTACATTCTGTTTTCGTGCTTACTTTCTGCCAAGGGACCAGAGCAGCTTAGCTTTTCGTCTTCATATTTTCCTCCACCGTGAGCTCCCCCCGCAGGTCCGCCTCACTCGCTCTCTGGCAGGGTCATAAATATGCAGTGAATGGCGCCACTTCTATGAGGCTGAAGTCTGTTCTCTCATCTTACTGCTCACTCTTTCTCTCCCTTCCCTTTTTTCACTCCCTTTTCCCCTCACTTCTTCCCACCCTTCTCGTCTCTGCTATTTCTCCTCATCATTTCCCCCCATTCTTTCTTCTCTTTGTATTTCTCTTCTCCCTAATCTTACTCCCCTTTCTTACCCCCTTCCTGTTTCTTTCCCTCCCTGCCCCCATTCCTCCTCTCTCTCTATTTTTCATTTTCTTCCCTTCAACCCTTCTCCTTTTTCTGTTCACCTCTTCTCTTTTTCTCTCTCTCCTTCCTCTCAACTGTAATCTCCATCAATCCTTTCTGTTCAGTGTCGCGGAGCCAGCGTGCTCCAGCTCCCTCCCTTTCCAGCTGAGCAGGTAAGAAGAAAGAGGCAGGCAGCATTCTGTCTCCGGGTTTCCACCCCTCTCTCGCCCTGTTTTTTACGTTCTCGTCCTTCTCGAGCTTGTAGACACGTGTCGAAGCACCCACATTTCTCCATGAGGACCGTGTTCACAGGTGTGGGTGCTGAGGAGCACCCCTGCCACCTTCCACCAACCCCTCGTCGGTGGAGCAGGCACTAGGGTGGGCATGGAAGCAGTGGCTGTGGGCTGGCAGTGGGCATGGAGGGTGCCCTTGACCCAGGAAGAGAATATGGCTGAACCTCCCGAGATGGGGTCACAGTCCGCAGGAGAGCTAGCGAGAGTTAGAAGAGACTTAATCATAGCTCACGTTCTGCCTTTACCTACAGGAAGGGTTAGGTAGGCTGCCTAAGGTCACAAAGCTGTCAAGGGCAGACGAGGCCCCGGTCTGGTGGCTATAGGACAGCCCTGCTGTATTTGTCTCCTTGTCTCATGGACCCCAGTCCCTTTCCTCAGCTCTCTCTCTCATTTTCCCTTCTGCTCAGAAAGGCAGTATTGTGGTTTAGCCACATGGAATAGTAAACACAAATGGCCCTTAGAGGTCACGTAGCCTCACACCGTTATTTTACAGACACAGAGATTGAGAGTGGGGGTGAGAGGCGGAGGCCCCGCGGCAGGCAGGGTGGAACCAGGGTCCTTCCCCCACCCTCTGCCCAGTCTCCAGGCCATCTCCTGCTCAGCATCCTGGGCCCCAGCTAATAATGGT